GTGAAATCTGGACCTCAAGGCTGGACCAGTTGGGAACCACTAGGCTAACTCATCACAGCCGCTCTCCTCTTTGCTCATACTGAAAGGCATTGCTGAAAGGAAAGCAAAGGGCTGTATTATCTGAAAAGGGTCATCGCAGAATCATAGTGCCCAAGCTCCAGTTTCCCCCTGGTTACCACTGTTAGCTCTTTCACAATTGTTGCCTTTGTTTAGTGCTGTTAATGGCATTAGCAATGTTACCTGCTAGCTGCTGACTTAAGCCTAGTTCACATTACACGATTTTCACCGCGATTTTGATGTTGCAGAGGATCTTGAGAGCCACCTTGAGTTGGAGGTGAGGCGACAGATAGTCTGCCACGACGAGTCCTCATGTGTGAACAAGCCTATGAGCAAGTCGCCCCCTCGTCTGTGACTGTGACTGGATATCTGTCATGCTAGAAAACTGGAGAAGTCTGACACGACTGACAAAGAGCATCAGCTAATGAGAGGCGGGATACGTCCCACGTCAGCACGCAGGAGGACGGAAGAATTGTGAGGAGGACAAGCCGCAGGGTTGCCAGGTCTGCTTATTAGCCTCTACTTTGGGCTTGTTTCTAAAGTGGAGTTGCTTATTTGGGCTTGCTCTCTAAACGTCACCTTTCTCTCTATATATCCGTCTAATAAGTTATACGCATGATAGTCGCTTCTTTTGGGCTTGTTTCCATAACCCTGGTTGCTTGTTTCTATCCCAAGATCTGGCAACACTGACCAGCAAGCAACAACAACAACGGCAGCCTCCACAGGATCACGGGGAGCGCGTTGTGTTTGGACCCAGGCCCTGGAGGCAGATCTGATTCAACACTGGGAAGAATATCCATGCCTTTACCATGTGTTGTCTCCAAGTTAAAGATGCAAAATCAGGGTGAAAATCATGTAATGTGAACTAGCCTTTAGCCACCTCCCAACCCAGCCACCAGAAAAATGTTCACATTTACATTTTACATTTGTGCATCATTTTGTCATGGATATATTAAAGCTTTACATTTCTCAATAACACTCTGGTGAAGGAGTAGTTTAGGCACAAAAATCACTAGGATATGGTTAAGAAGGATATGGTTTAGTGGCATAAAAACTGCTAGAAAAGCAGGGATGTGTCGCTAAAGACACCCAGGTTCAGTAAAACACACCAAGGTTCGGTGCCACAAACACTGTTGAAAACTCCACAAAGGATCACCAAGAGACAACTGGTGTTGTTTGTTTGTTGGTGGTCCAATGCTTGGCATGCATCTCTGGCAGGACCTTAGGTGTCACACCATCCTCTCCACCTTCTGATGACAAAGTCAGCTTATATATTAAATCGCTTTAGAGACATTGATATGATACATATGAAACGCGCAAATGTAACATATACGTGGTTTGCAAATTGTACAATGTAAACATTTTCTTCTGGCGAATGGGCTTCACCTCCGTGTTGAGAACTGTTTCCAGACAACTCATACGCTCTGAATTTCGCATAGAGCCCCTTTAACCCATAGGATGGACAAATATAAAGAGATGAAAATTCAGTTAACTGTCATCTAAGCTGAACATGACTCACCTCTGTGGAACTGTTACTGTAGCAGCGCCAGTTTATTTGCTTCAAATTCTGTTCTGCTTCTTTTTACTTCACTGTTAAGTCTGAGCGTCAGAATGATGTTTGTGCAGAGTACACTGTTCTTGCATTTCTCTGCTTAGGGAGGAAATTTTCTCTGAGTTTAACATGTGTAAGTACTCTGTGACCATGATATGTCACGTCACAGCCAGTTCGGGAGCCAATTGTGGTTCAACATGCATCTTACACAAATGTGATGAAACCTCCGGTTCACCAGCACTGAGGGGGACTTTTCATTAAAGCAGGAGACAGCTTGCATCTGGCAGCTAAACTTTTTAAAAACAAAACATGTTTGCGTATACTGGACTTTTTTGGAAGAGGGAGTGCACTTATGAAAGTGTAAGTAGTTTATTGAACTTTTTTTTAAACATAAACCATATCAGACAGATTAAACATTCAAAGCCAAGGGTTTTTTTTTATGTTAAACATGTCCAAGTCCTTTGTAATGAATGTTTACATCATTCTGTCTGCACCAGGAAATGCAGTTATTCTAAATATGAGACAAAAAGCAATAAGATGAAAGTAGCAGCTGTGCTCCAGAAAATATGTTGCTGCTCCACCTCGAAAACGAAACACAAGCACGGTGCATATTTAGAGATACAATAAGGAAGTGACTGCAAGTGATTTTTTTTTTGGAGACAGCTTTAGATGAACTTAAAACAATATATTAAAAATGGCTGTTTAAATATGCATGTTTTTGAAATTTTCTTGTCAGCAATTAGAAAGTAATACAGTGAGTGCAACTCCAGTTTTATTGCTTTGTGTGGGTTTTGCCAAAGTAAATCGTATTTAATCCAAGTAGCACAAACCAACAGCCACACAGTCAACCTGGGACTTTGGGAGGCACCTGAGGGACGAAGGCCCCAAACATTAATTTGGCACAATTAAGCTTACTGTTTAGGCAATAATTGCTACATATTTTCACAAAATCAGCATTTTATTCTGCAGGTTTTACTGTGGGTTTATTCTGTAGCTGAGCTGATCTTATCGTGACTCTGAAAAATTGCAGGTCCTGGTTGAAACGCAATTGGCCAGCAACTAATGAGCATTGGTGGAATGTAACTAAGTACATTTTCTCAAGTACTGTACTTAAGTACAAATTTGCTATACTTGTCATTTCTTCCATTTATGTTTCTACCACACTACGGTGGTAAATATTGTACCCCTTACTCCAGATTTATCTGACAGATTTAGTTACTTTTCAGATTACAGTTTTTCATAGATCCTGTCCGACCCATCCCACCCAGGCCATGGCCTCATCAATCTCCTGCCTGAAGGAGATAGAGGGTTTTGCAAGCACTTTTTACCCATGAGCAATTAGACTTGTAAACACTTAACACACCGCATGTCTTATGGCGGTCTATAGGTCTACTCATGATGTGTGGGTGTATGAGTATATTTATTTATTCTTAGACCTCGTCTTTTTAAATGCACTGAGGATAGATTGCCCAACCAATTTCATTGTGACATCTGTTACATGACAATAAAGGAAATTCTGATTCTGATTCTGATTCATGTCTCCAGTGAAAGGGTCCAAATTCGGTGCTTTTTGATTTAAGATTTGTGAAGCAAACAAAAACAAACATAAAAAAGGGGGATCAAGTGTTCCTTTGTGTGCTGAGAAAATGTTCCTACTTCTTAAGCAAAGTAAACTATTTAGAAACCCTCTTGGATCAGCTGGAAAATGCATCATGACAAAGCTTAAAACAGGGTTGGAGTTATTTATGGGTTTGTTTGTTTTTTGAGGATGGCAACACTACAAACATACGATGATCTTATCGTGCATGATGCATTACCATAGATTAAACTACCAAACAGTTTACAGAGGAGTTAAAATTAGCACAACCTTGAACATCAACAGCAGTAAAAATGCGTCATACTCCTTAAAGCAGCAGTAACATTATTCCAAAAACATCAAATTTAGCACTAAAACACTGACGGAACATTTTATGTCAGCATGATTACTTTTACCTTTGATAGTTTAAGTACATTTTTGCTGATAATACTTACACTCTTTGCTTGTGGTGGAGTATTTTCACAGTGTGGTGTTCTTCCAGCACTGCTAACGACATACCGACTGCTTCTCTGCTACTGTACTTAGTTAAGCAGTGATTGGACAGATAGAATTGCTCATATACTAAATGGTTGCATTTTGTCACCCAGCCCACTCACTGTGAAAAGTTTCCCAGCACCATCATCTGCTTTTGCTGCAGTAACTCATAGACCCAACAGTGTTCATGTTGCAGCATGTGATGGACGAGGATAAACGAACGGCCCCGCTGCCTTTAAGTATTGAAATAAGATGTTGATTAACAAAGAGAGAAGGAAAGTCACAGTGGGGTTTGGGAGGATTTAAAAATATTTTAACAGGCTGTTGTGTGAGTGTTGTCGATGGAGGGAGCGCCCCGGTTTTCACAGGATCAGACGTGATTTGCTTATCAATCATATTTATCCTGTCATGACATAACACAATGTCTCTATATGACACTTAGTATTTTGTCTCTCATGGTTATTGGGCTGCCGTTACACACTCTTGTGGTATTTCCATTAAGGACTAATGCAACTGTTTAATAACAGTGCAGCGGAGATACTGAGAGCTGACAGAGAGCAGTGGTCGACCAGGCAGGGGTCCAGGGACTGAGAGCTGGCAGAGAGATTTCATCTATTTGGATAACCTCTGATGTAAAAATGGTTCCTTTCTTGGACCATTTGCTGCCGCGAGGAGAGGTCATGGAAAATAATAACCGTAAACCATTGCTGCGATGATAAAACCAAAACTTTGCCAGTTGAAATGATTGCTTCAGTGCGAGCACGCTGCAGATTTACAGTAGACGGAGAAGATAAGCAGCAAGAGGCTCCAGGCTGAGACGTTATTCTATATCTGATATAGCTTTGGCTGATTCTGTACATTTATAATAACCTTCAATAAAAGAAAACTCTTTGTATAATGACAATAGGTCATGACCCAAGATATTCAAGAATTGAGTTGCAATAAAATATTGTGTAATATTCTGAAATATCATTTCCATAACATTTGATTGAATCCATATACAAACATATTAGTCCTTTAAGTATACTTTAGGTATTTACATTTTATGCAACTTTACAGGCCACTGCATTTTAGAGGGAAATATTTTTTCTCTACTACATTTATTTGAAATACATAGTTACTTTTCAGATTAAGATTCTACAAAATAAAATTTAAAAATAATAAATAAAATAAAACAAAAATAGAATGAAAAAATAAGATAAAATTAATTAATTAAAACAAAACTAAACTAAATCAAAATTTTAGAAAATAAAAATAAAATAAAATAATAGTCAAACCAAACTACTGGAATGCATGGCTAAAAAGAAATGTCTTCAATTTAACATTTAAAAGATGTTTGGGCACTCCTGATGTCATCAGGTGAAATGTTCCAGCAGCTGAGCAGAAAAGAAACTAAAGAAACTTTCACCTGTATGCATGGAGACCTGAGGAATAACCAGGTGACCTGTTCCAGGTGACCTGTACCAGGTGACCTGTTCCAGGTGACCTCAGGGGTGGAGCTGACTCAGAGCTCACAGCCATATCAGAGAGACATCGCTGTGTCTGAACACGTGAAGCCTTAAACACAAGTGTCACTATTCTAAAATCAGTTCTAAAATTCCCCTGAGAGTCAACGCGCTGACGTCAGCTGTGTTTCGGAGGAGCTGCAGTCATTAATGTGTTTTCCTGTGAGCGTCACAGTCGTCATGAAATAAGAGAGTGTGTCAGCATCATCCTGAGATATAAAGTACCTCAGCAACATGTCTCAGATGATGATGATGATGATGATGATGATGATGATGACAGTATTAACATGACACCAAGGTTATTAACCTGTGAGACTCTTCATTTCTCACTGGTTGTTCAGCAGTGCGGAGAGTTGTGATCATGGTTTATATATGTGCAGGTACGTGGCGGCGTTCTGAGACGCACTGTGACGTTTGTTGACACCTGGTGAGGCGCTGTGATGTGACATCAGTACCTTTCCCTGGATGCGTTCGATCTGGACGTTCTGCTTGTCGATCTCGTTGCCCATATCCAGGGCCATGCTCTTCAGGTTTCCGATGATGCTGCCGACATGAGCCAGGTTCTCCTCCATCTCGTCCTCGCGGGCGTCGTTAGTCACCCTGACACACGGAGCAGAATAAAGAGTGTGTGTGTGTTAATGTGCTGTGTTTGGCCAGCTGCCCGTGAGACTGTGGGCTGCTGGTGTTACCTTACATTACACAGCTGCCTCTCCCACACAACAACACACAACAACACACTCCCTCTACCTCCGTATGTATCCTCCACTCATGATCATCTGCTCCCTCTCGTCGATGACTCGAGACGACGGCGGCTGATTGGACACAACGCCGTCCTGACCGCCGCCCCACACTGCCTTGTACGCTCCGCTCTCCTCGAAGGCCTTCAGCCTGACGGACAGACGGAGAGGACGACCTCATGACTGACCTTTTATCATGAGTTCTCCCTGTTACATGTGACACACACCGCCCTCCATACTGGTCCCACAGCTGCACCACACGACTTATTATTTCATAGCAACAGAGGCTCTGGAGTCATTTCTCCAATCTGCAACCAGGACACATGTGACCCCTCCCAGTATGGAGACAGCAGTGGTCCATTCATACAGCACAGATGACACAGTGGTTGTCAGATGATACTTAAACAACACCACACAGCAGCAAAGCAAGCAGGCAACAAAAGAAACTAAAGCACCTGATGAACAAAGACTGAACACTACCGGCCCCGTCGTCTGAGGGAGATGTTGGCATGTGATGTTCCTGCAAACCACACACACACTCACACACTGCATTTGAACATTTTACACGTATCATATCAACGTTTATAAAGTGATGTAGTGTATGAGCTACTTTGTCAATGGGAGGTGGAGGTGATGACAGCTAGGATACACCTGCCAAGCTGCACACCAACGAACAACAAAACCAGTCCAACGGCTTTTAAACACTAAATGTGGGTGTTTTGTTGCAACATGTCGCTGTGTTTCCAGCAGATTTGGGGGCATGAAATGTGTTTAATTTCTAGTGACCTGTCGCTGTGTGTCCAGTATTTTTTTAGGCACCAAACATAGGTATTTTCTAGTGACTTCTAGTGACTGTGTTTCCAGCAATTTTTAAGCACTAAATGTTGGTGTTTTGTAGCAACCTCTCATTGTGTTTGCAGTAGAATTTTGAGCACTAAATGCAGGTGTTTTCCAGCAACCCATAGCTGTGTTTCCAGTGTTTTTTGGGCAACAAATGTGAGTTTTTCCTCGTGACCTGTTGCTGTGTTTCCAGCAGATTTTAAGCACTAAGGGGTGTTTTGTTGCAACCTGTCACTGTGTTTCCAGCAGATTTGGGGGCATGAAATGTGTTTAATTTCTAGTGACCTGACACTGTGTTTCCAGTGTTTTTTAAGCACTAAATGTGGGTGTTTTGCAGCAACCTGTCGCTCTGTGACTTAGCGAGTCATTGCTGGGTTTCTGACAGTGTTTTAGGCACCAAACTCTGTTGTTTTGTAGTGAATTGTTGCTGTTTTTCCAGCTGAGGTGATGTCATGAAAGTGGTGGTTTTTTAACCAAGACATGGCTGATTTCCCAGCAGGGATTGTGCCCCTAAAACTGAATATTTCAAGCCTAAATATAATCTTCTCCTGACCATAACCAAATGGTTTTCATGCCTGCCCAACCAAAGACCACTGTTCAACACCAGCAAACAACAAAACATTTTTTTTTCCAAGTCATTGCCGTGTTCTGGCGGGGTAATGCCACAAAAAGTGGGTATTTAAGCCAGACATCACCCGTCCTCAGCATGACCAGGTGGTTTTTGTGCCTAAACTGAAACACACATTAACCACAGTGTTATTGAAAGAAACATAAAGTTTCCACCCTTCATAATGACGTCCAAATATAATGTATCCATGGTTTGCAAAAACATACTATGCCAACATTCATCCTGGTGACTGTGTTGAAACGTCAGCTGTCTCATAAGAATGATATCAAACAAAAAATATGATCTTCTATAAGTCTTATTTCTTCTAGTGGATCATCTTTCACTTACCTCAGTGTACCAGTCAAACACACACACACACACACACACACACACACACCTCCACCTACTTCTCGCAGGAGCAGAGGCCACAGCACTTGCCCAGGTCAGTCAGGTTTTTCTCGGCCTCCTTCATATCAGAGTTGATCTGATCCAGGCCCTCCTCTATTCGCTCCAACTGCTCTACGAGAGGAGAAGGAGGAGGAGGAGGAGGAGGAGGAGGAGAAGGAGGAGGAGGAGGAGGAGGAGGAAAGGAAGAGCAAAGGTGGACATGAAAAAGAAGGGGAAAGGCGGAGGGGGTGAAGTGGGAAAGAGGAAGGAGGTGAGAGAGGAGAGGCAGGTGACGGTATAAGTGGAGAGAAGAAGGAGGTAGAGAGGGTTGGAGAAAGGAAGGAGGTAAAGGAGAGATGAAACAGCAGGGAAAGCAAAAAGAGGAGGAGAAAGGAAACAGGACACGTGGAGGGAGAGGAGCAGAGGAGCAGAGGAGCAGAGGAGGAGAGGCAAAACAAAATCCAAAAAAAGAAAAAATAATCACAGTATTTTCTAAAAGCGCCACAGCTGAAGACCAAAGATATCCACTCCCAAATCATAAATAAGGTCACTATGCGCTAACTAACAGGGCCACAGGGGGCCACAGGGGGCCACACGGGGCCACACGGGGCCCAGCTATGCATTGATGTGCCAGCTGTTTGCACCCTGACCTCAGTGCCCAGTTTCATCATGTGTGATGCGTCCTGTGTGTATCATACACTCGTCAGTGTGTCGGTCTGTGACGTGCAGGGGTCGATTAATGTCACAATATGGAGTAAATGGTGTTCTTATTGCAGAGCCACATTCCAGTAACACACTCCTTGAATGAAACTGGGCACCAGTGCAGGTTTCTTAGGCCACCAGTCTGGTGATGGTGCGGATCCTGGAAACCAGCACCTACTTCCTGATTGGCCAGACACACAGACCGCAGCACTGGGCCATGTCTGTCAGGTTCTTCTCGGCCTCCCTCATGTCCCTGTTGATGGAGTCCATGCCCTCCTCAATGCGCTCCAGCTGCTCTGTTAGGAACAGGAGTTCATGCTGCTGGGTTTCATGGCGGCGGAACAACAACAGAGACGGACAGTGTGCAGCACATGGTTTCAAACCACTGATCTGATTGGTCTAGAGTATGTTCAGGCCGATATGTACAGATAAATCAAAGCTCAAATCTGAGACGGCCTGAGCAGGAAACAGGTTTCATACAGGACAGGAACTGACTCCAAGGTCTGATGGGAAAGACGTTGAGGAGCAGTCCAGCCAGCGGAGGACGATGGAGCATTTCCACACTTTGCAAACGTACACAGGACTTTTAGCCCCAAAACATGGCTGTTTTTCTAGCAGCTTTNATATTAATAGTACTTTAAATTCTCTGTATTTCACCCACTACTGATGTGGTTTGTTAGAATGTGAGCAAATAAAGAGACATCTTGCCAGCTAGTCCTCATCATGCATTCAGATGCAGTATGACAGTGTATACAGTCTTTTGCCTTTCATAAGCCCTCCGCTACATCCTGCAGAACAATATTGCTGCTGTAATTTGCTCATAATCACAGGACTAAACTACATTCCTGAACTCTGGGTCCCATGCAGGCTGAAGAAAAAATTGAGAATGACCAACAGACCCTGTGACAGAAGGGTAAAATGTCGCCAAGCATCCGACCACATATTTCCTGTGGTCAGCCCAACTTTCTTCATATGTTTAAGAATTTTGCCTCGGGGCTTTCTGTTAGCCGAGCTTTGCGCAGGAGGAGAATGTGTTTTCCTGCTAAATGAAGACATAGGCCTCCAGATAAAAGCATGAGGCAAATAAAAGCCATCTCAGTGCCATAAAATCATCGTAAAACTGCTGACCGTCACCATTTTCACCAGCTTACAGAAAGGGTAAGTTTGACCCAGAGACATCACACACAGATGCAGAAGTCCATGTGATAAAATTATAAAGCCTGCCTGCTTGAGAAGACTTTCCCTCTCTGCCACAGTGAATGATATGAGCCATACAAACCTAAATTACATTTATGATCTGCGCCGTGCCAACACGGGCACACAATCAAAGCCTTCCACTGAATCATTTAGCATATTTATTTAGCTGGCAACTTCATGGGCAGTCAGACCTGTCTGTGTGAACTCCTTCATTTGTATTTTCTGCTGACACACGCTGGAAAGAGCAGAGCCAGTGACAGTCACTCTCTCATTAGCAGGTTTTTGGTGGAGACTCCAGAGCTTGTGGGTGGCCTGGATCTGGAGAGAAGTGCTTTCTCTCTGTATCTACCTCCTCTTTCCATGGAGACCTGAAGTCTCCAGTCACCCTGAGCGTACCCTTTCCAGTGTCTGTGGAGATAAAAAGGCATCCAATATTTCAGCAAATAGAAACCCTATCCAAACAAAGGTAGGGTAGAGTCATTACTTTCAATCAAAAGCACATGTGAGGAGAAAAAGAAAAAAAAACACGACTGGACACTTGCTGGATTGAAAACACATCCTTGTAAAGAGAGTTCGGTGCTGAATAATTATTGCAGGTCTCTGCCTTGTTACTGTCCAGGAATGTGAGAAAATGATTTATTGTGTCTCTCACCACTTTAAATTGAAAAATGGGTCATAAAACATCCACCAAAACTGAAGCGCGTATAGTAGAAAAGATCTGTTAGATGCTGAAGGTGAAGAGGGGAAGATAATGGTGTCAGTGGGTATACCTTGAGGAATCCCACCTTAAAAAAAAGCAAATATTAAACATCTGCTGAACACATTTACATAAAAGGTCACTCCCAGTTTTTCCACACAGTCTGTAAAATAAGCTAATGACTGAAGGAAAGAATGATTATAAAATAATTTACAGAGAGAAAACAAATCAAACCCAGCAAGACTGCAACAAGACTCTTGTATGAAAGACAGAAAATATCCTACCAGTGTGTTCTAGTTGTTTCATAGTCGCAGCAGATGTTTAAATAATGAGTGGAGCTTATCTTGGAATGCTGGCTACACCGTAATACAAATATATACTGACAGCAGGTTCATCAAAAATTTACTGCGCAATGCTTGTAAATCACAAACAATATTGTAATAAATATATTTTTAGCCTTGTAGAAGTGTCTAGGGCCACGTAAAGTTACATCTGCTTCAAGCTGCCTTTACAGCAACCTGAAAAAAGCCTCAAAGTAGCAGCAGGCGCTATTGCTAAGACAGTTCTCAGCAGCTTTAATTTTATTTAACATTGTTGTGACCTAGAGGAAGAGGCATGAAGAAGTTAAGCTGGAATACGAAAGCACAAATCCCCTGGCCAATAAATGAAAGCTTATGAACATACTGTAATGAGGCATACTGAGGACAACAATAGCAGCCCCACAATGATGCTGCTGCATTTGATGTTTTTGCAAATTGTATGTCCCCTGTTAGAGATGATGGAAAAAATATGTTCCTCTCTTGGGAACAGTCAAAACAGTGAAGTCGTACAATAATGTTCTTAAAATTGTGAGTTTTGTCTACAAAGTGGCTCCTCGGAGAGCTTTCATCACACGTCGCCACAGCGTCTGAAGTGGTCAGGACAGTGATCGCATTCAAAGATGTCATTAAGGAATTTCTATTTAATCATATTCTACGTATAAGATGTAATTTAGAAAAAAACAAAAAAAAAACAGTAAGTGGTCTCCACGTAACTGAACACACCCTGCACATTTTTACGGTAAAAGGAGCATATCAAAGCATATTGTCTATAGATCACATCTGCAATGCATCAGCCTGTAATGGGTCTTAGGAAGTCTTATTTGTACTCATGAAAAAAAATCTCAAATGCAGACACAGTTGGTTGGTTGGTGGTTTTTGTGACCCTTGAACTGTTTCAGGATTTACCGCATCAATGCGTCTCCAAAATACATTTTAAATTATGATTATTTCAGCTTGGATTACATGGTCAGTTGACATGGTAGTCTCAGTAATATTAGAGCTCTGTTACATCAGCACTGCAAGCTACTTGTATTGGGTTTTGGATATGGTTTTGATTTTAGAAAGATAACTTTGAATTATTTACTAAATAAATTCATTATCATTATGCCGAAGGTTTAGTCGCTGTGGTCACTCTGATAGAATTCTGCTGCACTGATAGTGATTATTAAAGGTTCATGGCTTTTTTTTCTGTTGGCTTGCTTGGAGCGAAAAGGTCCTATATGAGAGCAACATTTTTTTAAACTATGTTGCAAAAGCTTTGGTGATTCCACATGGGAGATTCCTGCATTTTTTTTTTAAATTTAGCAATGGCAATTTGGGGGCTGTTTGCTTATGTCAACAGCCTCTGTCAGCTGGATGTGGTCAAATCAACCCAACACATTCCTGAAGGAAGCATATTAGCTGTTTTAAAAGTGCATTAAACTCTTAATAATATATATTTTTCCCCCCAAACTTTAAGACTGTTGTTGTTGTTGTTGTTGTTTTTTCATGCATAGCAAGAAAAACTTGAGAGAGTGGAATGTACCTACACAGTTAAATCACCAGTGGGAATGTCCAGTAGCAGGATGATCAGAGAGGCAGCCATTTTTATGTGTACTGTTGCCACTGCACCCATTGTAGTTGGTTACTTCCCTATAAACTTCCGTATAAACACAGGCCTGCTGTTGGGGGGTCAAAGGGTACAGCTAACCCTGGCCAAAGGCCAATGGGGGGGCCATAAAAAGGTCTATGGTTGACCTTTAAATTGGATCGTGTACAATTTACTTACTTTATCATTGACAGTACAATAATTTTGTAGTTTTAGAATTAAAAACACATTTCAAAATTATATCTTATGCTCCCACCCCCACAGGTATTGTGAAATGGTTAGGTCCATCTGACAGAGGGGTCATGGTGCGTTCGTTTTGTACTCGGAGGTCGGAAATTTAAGTTTAAACTCGAACCCACCCTGAGATCGGATTTCCAACTTGGAAACTCGGAGCAACCGCATCAATCCCGACTTACGAATTCAAGGTGGCTGCCGGTCATATAATGAGTAAACACTCTGCTAAAGCAATTTTATCTTATTTGTTTTACATTAGGTCAGCCTCATCTGCGGCATTAATCAGTTGGAGTGCATGATGCTTTTGAAGCTGTGTATACTCCGAAAGTGCAAGGGCATCAAAGGCTTTCTTGCGGGCGTCCATGTTTTTTTCCGACTTGTCCACCGTTGTCAACTACAATGCAAAAACT